TTTTAATTTTTTTTTGGGTGAAAGCCAAATTGTTTAGCTACTATTTCAAGCATTACATTGATGTGATTTCATGTTCCCTTTTGCACATGCTTACTTTGACCCTTCTTAAATGTAACCAATTGAAATAGAGATGAGTTGGTTGAGAGGAAATGGAATGGAATATAGGATGTAAATTGTAAAGTGTAGTGTAGAGGTATGCAGTCTCTCCAGCCTCCTAAAACTTTTAATTTTTTTCCAAATTGAACGTAGAGAAGAAAATATAGGGGGAATTATAGGCCAGGTTTCTCAACCTCTTCAAAAATGTCGTCCGGTGTGTGTCGAATCCTCCAAAAATAGTATATACTATTTTCGGAGGATTCGACACGGGTGTGGCGACACTTTTGAAGAGTCTGAACAAAATGGATTATAGGAACATTGTTTGAAGCTTGCAAGATGCTGATTGTGGAGAATATGATCGGTTTGTTTTGCTTTGAATTATGGGTGTCCAGATGCAGAAAAAGAAGAGTAATCCAAACTATCATTTTCTAATTACTGTTAAGGATACTAGATTTTTGAGGTGTCTTGTCATGTAAAAGCCTTAATTTTGGGTGTACTTTTAGAAGATTTCTGGCTCCAGATCTCTGGGTCTGCCTATAATTGTAAGTTTTTACTATTCCGAGACTGTCCTATTTCTGAATCGTTTAAAACATTTTTCTTGCCTTCCTTGGTCTAAGAGAAACCAAAAAGAGAAGAAAGAAAACAATAACATGATAGAAAAAAAATATATTTTTGGACACCTAAAGAATATACAGAAAATAAATAATACAATTGACGAGTCTTAACTCTTTACATGTAAAATAAACTCATTTTTCTTTATTAGTTTTCGTGCTCACAATCTCCCTATACCATAGTACCAAGTAAAGCTAACCCACTCGTGTGGTGGAAGAGGGGTTAGCATAGTTAGCAGAGCTGGTCGTCTTCCATTTCTGAGTCATTAAGGGGCCGTTTGGCCATAATAATTTTTTCACTTTTTTTCTTGAATCGGTGTTTGGGTATGAAATTTCAAATTTCATTTCAAGTTGAATTTCGGATTTTTTCGTAAATTGAACAATTCCAAAAAGTTGTTTTTCAATATTTTCACTTCAAATCACTAACAAAAATTCAAAAACAGCTCGAAATCGTATTTATGTTCAAACACAACTCTAATTTTCAAATACTATTTTCAATAAAAAAAATCTTTTTTTTTTTCCGGAATTTCACAATTTTTATGTCCAAACGCCCACTAAACCATCGCGTCATGTCATAATCGACACTTTCATCGTATTATGAGAAGATAATTTCGAAGTTGGTAAGAGAAGAAGAAAAACATGGTAATGAAAGGGAGATCAACATTCTTACAAGTGTTATTTTACAGCGGTGAATAAGCAAAATTAAGAAGTGGAAAAACTGAGATATATTTTTCCATTTACTATTAAAAAAAAAAAATGTGGGAGGAAATGAGGTTTGTTATAACAATCAATAGCACATGAATGGGGTCCCAATTGTCACTTTCACTTAGCAAGTTTAGGACCAACCATATTATTAACCTGGTGCTCTTCTTTCATGGCTCCAAACACTGTGCAAGTTGACAACATTATTCCACCTCCCCTTACTACGACTTTAATTTGTCCTCTCATTTTCTTGATTTGATGTTAAACTTTCGAAACTTTGATTATTAGCAAATCATGTTTAAGGTAACCCTCAAACATTCTTGGATTTTAATCCATTTTGTATCTCCTATCTGTGGAGTATGGAGGTTTTGATTCCTTTTGAAAGTCAAATGTGACATTTAACAAACAAATAAAAAGATATAGGCATGAGAAATGGCTGAAATGCTACTATAGGGACTTGTACCAGATATTTTGAGAGCACATAAGCTAGATTAATTATCTTTCTTATATAGAGTAATAAATAAGAGGTCCCTATTTTGTCCAATATTGGTGTAAAATTTCTTGGACACTCAGTGTAATTTAACTTACTCTCACCAGTTATCTTCCATCTCTATTAGGTTATCAGTTGATAGTCTACATCCTGAAACTATGAATTACCATTTTTTACCCAAGAAAATTACTATTTAAGTGATATTGTATACATTTTTGCATCAACAAGATATAATTAAAACTTTGTCCATTGTCAAGAAATTATTAGAACTTTTCTCCAGTAGATATAGGCACCGTAAGACTGCATACAATACACCCTTATGGTCTAGCCTTTGTCTGGACCTCACGTATAGCGAAAGCTTAACGCACCAAACTGACTTTTTCTCCAATAGATATAGATTAAAAAGTATATTGACAAGATGCCTCTCAGGTAATATCAAAATCCGCTCTAAGTGCGGATGGGTAGGGGTAGAAATCTCTTGTCCATATATAAAATACTCTTACTTAGTTGTCCTTCCTCAAGCTTATCTTCTAAACACATACTAATTTTTTTGATTTTTGGTGTAATCAGGATTTTCACTAAAGAAAGTATAATTTTAAAAAGTAAACATACAAAAAAAACAAGCAAACTTAGTATATACAAGTATATAATTTTTTTACCTAAATAATTTTTTGGGAAGTGGTATCATAGGTGTCAAGTGACAACTCTTGGATAAAGGTAACTCCGCCACTGATTCGATAGAGGGCATATGATTTAGCCTGCTTTAATATTTTATATAGTCCAAGCTATTTCTATGTGTCTTCCTCATTTATATTTTAAATGTTCATTTAGTAAGTTATAGTGCTTATTAATTGAGATTGGTGAAAATAATTGTTTTAATATGAAAAAGTAGTAGTTATCCTTAACAAGATTCAAACATTTGCATGAGTCTTTGCTATATACGTGCACGTGTGCGCACGAATTATTGACTACCTCTACAATAAAAAATTGTGTGTAAGCAATCGCAAAGGCCTAACTCTATTGCTTTTTTCCTCTTATTATTTCTTTTTTTTTAACATAATATGTACAAACATTTGTGTCAGCATCTAAGGAAAGCTTTTGACTTAAAACGGAACAAGTTAATAAAGAAAGCAACAAAATTTTGGTAATAAAGAATCTGCACCACAAGTTCTATTATTGAAATCAAGTTGACAGCTACTCCTCATCTAATATAACTATGCAAGCATGCAACCTCTCCACAATTATTGCTAATTGATATGTTCATTCTACATAAAAAGACAATATATAAGCTCAAAATTCATTATATCAAAAAATTTCGACATAGCTTTTATTGACATTGTATTTCGTCTAACTATAACTCAACTCAAGTTGACAAAAAATAATAATTATAAGGATTTATTTGATATACACCAACAATATTTTATATTATTAGTATAATTTAATTTATTATAGCAGGTTGTTGGCTCATTTTTCAAGTTATTAATTAATTCCACTAGTTGATAATTAGTAAAAAGGTTACTATCTTTCAACTCCAAAGGGGTATTTACTTTTTGAAGAATATGATCGAAATAATAATAAAAATATTTTTAGTAAAACTATATATAAATTACACTCTTATTATAATTAATTAGTGCTAGTGTATGACCAAATAAGTCAAGTTTTGATATGACTTTGCTGAGATATATTCGATCACTTAATAATAAAAACCACAACTATCACTATATTAAAGAGTTTTGAGGTATATTAAAGTATTCTAAAGCATGATATTAGGGTATTACATAATATTTTAGAAACCTAAGCTGCACATTAAATTAGCAGAGACAAAGGGCACCTTCAATCACATGCAAAACTGCAAGAATATCTACCTACAAATGAAAGGTGACATCTGGTCTTTCTCATTTATGGTTTTTGTTTTGTATTGAACATGTGGCAATTGTGTAACAAGTACATTTTGTTGGATGAAGATATAACACATATACAAGATCAATAATTATTGAAAGAAAAGAGTACTAATGTTATAAATTGCATTATTTCCTGCTTTAACAACCTTCCATTAATTCTTTCATTCTACTTTGAATACTACTCCAACATAACATCCTCATCAATAATTTCAAACTTGTTGAAAATTTACTGTATAATACTATCATTTAACAATTATTAGTGTACCAAGAAAGGAAATTGTCAGCACTCAGGACACATAGCTGGAGGTCTTGTCTTTTTCTTGAAATCTATGTCATGCTCCAAGATATGGGTGGCAATTCTTAGAATCAAAGATTTTGGGAGGTTAAAAAAAAAAAAATTAAAAATAAAACCAATAATTGCACCCTGAATATTATACATGGATCATATTTTTAGTAGATAGCTGTCATAGAACTAGGTGGGGTTGTGCCTTTTTGGTCCCTTTTGGTAGAAAATGAAACTTGAAAGGGATCAATCTTCATTATTCACAATGTCTTGTTCTAGTTTTGAGTATATTACATTACCAGATTGAACCAACTCAATCAGCTAGGCTGGCAATTCTCAATGTTACAACAATTTATTATTTCTCACACCACTATAATTAATTGTATCTTTGCCACATTATCTAAAAGTAGAATATATAATACAGTCGGATCTCTCTATAATAACTAGTGACGAAGCTATATTCACTTAAGAGTGGTCAATTGACCACCCTTCATTGAAAAATTACACGATGTACATAGGTAAAATATTATGTTTTATAGGCATATAACACATATTGAACACCCTTTATTGTGATTTTTTTTCCGCTTCTTTTAAATTTGAACACCTTTAGGGAAATTTCTAACTTCGCTACTGAAAATAACATTTCTATGTTACAAGTTACAACCATTCACTATAAAAGTCAAGTTTTTTTCGAAACCAATTCTTATGTTATGTTATAATATATGTCCTCTACAACGGCACTTCACTACAACAGTCAAAAAACAAACGAGGTTGTTATAGAGAGGTTTGACTGTAGTTCCATTCCATTTATCTTTTTTTGTTGGGAGATTCTTTCTCACACATTTTTAAAGCTAAATTAACTGTTGAAGAATAAGAGAATATGAGATAGTGTAAAGCTGTAAAGAACTATTTTGAAGTGAAGAACATGGACTTAATATTATTGTTATTATCATTATTCTCCTGAATTGTGTTTGGTGTGGGAGGGAGATAATAAAATAAAAGACAGTTTTCTCTCTTCCTTTTTTGACATTTATGTTTTAAAGTTGTTTCCCACTACATAGACAGGAACAATAACTGGAAGGAGGATTAATAAAAGATTAAAAAGAAAGAGGAGAAAGTAGGATAAAAACAAGATCCTCAGAAATCTAAAGCCTTTTTCCCTTTTTATGCTCCCTATTCACCCCTCAAACAACAATCTTCTTTTCTCTCTTCAATTGCCAATTCTTATTGCCTCTTCCTTCCTTTCAAACCACCTGCCAAAAACAAAAAGCCAAACTAATTAATTTTTGAATAACATCTAAAGAAAAATATGGCATAATAATTAGTTGGGATTAAGCTTGGTCATGTTAGTACATTTAATTTAGTTCCAATTCTTACCAAGTCTTTTAATCATGTCAGAAACTTATATTTCAGTAGATAATATGGAGAACTTCTAGCGCAAATGAAACTAACATTTATAATACTCGATTGATCGGCTTAAACGAAACAACATAAATAATAAGAATTCATATAGCCGACTTCAACTTGTTTGAGATTACGTCTAAGATGTAAGTTGTTGTTATTCTATCAAGAACAAACCAGTCCTTTTGCTCCATAATTTTAGCAGCAGTTAAAAAGAAATGTAATACAGCTTCTGTTTACTCACTAGATTTTTCTGATGAAGTTCTTCCACTCACAGATGTTTTCAAGAAACCAAAGTGCTTCCCTAAAACAGATTTACCCTGAAATGAATAACACAATTCTCATTTTCAATTCTATACTTAAATAAAAAAGACATCAGAAGAAATAATCCAAGAATAAAAGGCAGCTTGGTGCACTAAATTCCCTCTATGCGCAGGGTTCAGGGAAGGGCCGGACCACAAGGATCTATTGTACGCAGTCTTACCCTGCATTTCTACAAGAGACTGTTTTCATGACTCGAACCCGTAAACTCCTGATCACATGGTAGCAACTTTACCGGTTGCGCCAAGACTCACCTTCAAATAATCCAAGAATGACAATAAAAAGTACCTTAGAATGTGTTTCAGAGAAGTCAGCTACCATCTCCATAGAAGTTCTATCATTATATTCTCTGTTATCCTGTAACACAAAAAGGGTATATATCAAAGTGAAATAAAGTAACATCTATTATATATTAAGATTAAGAAATTAAATTGGGGTTGGACTGAACATACCTTAGGGAAACTAGAGAATGGAGAACTAGCAGTATCATCAAGATAAAGATTCTGTTTTTTGACCTTTTGCTCTTTTATTTTCCTTTTCTCCTTTGTTTCCTTTGTATTTTCAGAAGCTGAAGGATAGAAGATGTATCCATTTTGATCAAAGCAATAATCTTCATGAAAATGTGGTGGACCAGAAGAAGCATCAGAAACCATTGACATATCTTCATCTTCTTGATATTCATCTACATATTCTGTTTTACTCTTACTATATATACCATAATCAATATTTCTTCTGTTATATTGATCTTCAGAATTTGAGAGTTGATCTAAGTACATTGTCCATCCAGATTCACATCCACTACTACATTCAGAAGCTGAGATATTCATACTTAAAAAAGTGAAAATGCAGCCTTAATTGTGGGCTAAGTCACTTGGTGTTTCTTGAAAGTAGAGGAAAAATATATGAAGGGTTTGGTTTTTAATAGAGGAAGAAGTAGTAAAGATTAATATGGGTTGGATTCTGTTTATTGGTTCTGTATATATAAGTGGGAAAGAGAAGAAGAGTAAGGTATATAAAACCAAACTTAACACACTCAATAGTAGACTAGCTTTGTCCTTTGCTTTATCCTTTGGCCTTATTTTTTTTCTCAATTTTGTGAAGGATCAAAACTTGCCAGTTGGCTTAGTCATGGGGTAGGGGAGGGGGGAGAGAGAGAGAAATGAGTTTTTTGGCCACTTGCAATTGATATTTGGTACAACATGGTGATTGCAAGAAAATCATATGTTCAACAATATTTGTGCAACAGCCAGCCAGCAAATGCCAACCATTCCCCTTGCATTTTGTGCTTATTATTACTACCAATTACCACACTATAATTTTTATCTGTTTTGAGCCGAGGGTCTACCGGAAATAAATTCTCTACTTTTCCAGGGTAGGGTAAGACCTGTGTACACACTATCCTTCCCAGACCCCACTGTGAGATTTTACTGGGTTGCTGCTCATGTTGTTGTACAACACTCCAATTTTTATCTGTTTTGAGCTGAGACTCCATCGGAACAATCTCTATACTTTTTCAGGGTAGGAGTAAGACATGTGTACGCATCATCCTTCTCAGACCCCACTTTTGAGATTTCATGGGTTGTTGTTGTTGTACCACACTTCAATTTTTACACTCTTCACTTTCTTTTTACCACATCCATGTCAAAAGTGGACATTCATTGGATTATGGATATATAGAGTTCATTCTTGTAAGGAATAGGTTTTATTTAATATTGTAATCTTAGAGGATGAGATGAAACAGTCTTAGTAAATCATTATCACATGCAAGAAAATTCCAAATAGTGGATAATATGGGATTCTGTTCATATTTATGTAATGACAAATTTAGTGAGAATAGATTTGTCAAAAGGCATTTTGTCACTGGAATTGAAGTTCAGACTTGTCTGCAAATCTATTTGACTCTGCAAAATACTTAACAAGATAACAAGATTGAGCAACATAAAACAGGCAGTGAGTCAGTAATAGCTTCATAAAGTGTAGGCAGTGGTGCTATATATGACATTATTAATGAGAGGCTTTCTTGGATCACTTATTGCTGACATAAGAGACACATTTTAAAACAAAGTTTCCTTGACTAAATTTGTCTTTCTAAATTGGTCATAATTGGAGGCTTGGTCTTTGCAGCGTTTCCAGTTTTTCTTAGTCCGTGGTTACTTACGTAGAATTTATACAAGCGGTCTCAATTCTGTACCGCTGATACTGCGGTTACCTAACCCGATGGTCTACCGAAAATAGCCTTTTTCCTGCACTAAATAGGAGTAAGTTCTGTGTACACATTACATTTCCAAGACTCTACTTGTAAAAATATATTGGGTATATCTTTATTGTTAGTCTCGACCTATTGTCTCATCTCGGCCTGTACACGCATGCCTTTACAATTTATGTTGGTTTAAAGCTTTACAGCCTAAGAAGTATTGAAAAGAGGTGATCAGCCAGGACATAGTACGACTGCAGATTTTCGAAGACATGGCCTTTGATAGGAAGGTGTGGAGGTCGAGCATTAGGGTTGTAGGCTAAGAGGTAGTCGAACTTTTTTTTACTTCGAATTGGGGGTGAGGCTAGTTTAATAGGGTTGATCTTAGACGGCTAATGGTTAATGTTGTGTTTACACTATCCTTCTGTTTTTTATAGCAACGGGCCTTAATTACTGGTTATTGTTATTGCATGTCATCTATTTTTTGGTTTTTATGATGTTATTATTTCTATCGTTATCTGTTGACAAAACTGATATATTGTCTCTTCTCTTTTCTTTTTTCCGTCTTCTTGAGCTGAGGGTCTATCAGAAACCACCTCTTTGCCCCATCAGAGTAGGGGTAAGGTCTGCATACACACTATCCTCCCCAAACCTCACCTGTAGGATTTTACTTGGTTGTTATGGTTGTTGTAAAGCTTTACCGCCTATCTCAAATTGGCATTAACCTTAGTATTTGGCCTGTTAAATATTTACATATTATTTTTTAAAATATATACATTTACACACATGCAAAACGATGTCGGATGACACCTTCAAAAAAGTCTCCACAACTAAATAGTCAGCCTGACTTGTTGAAAATTAATCTTCCATTCAACAAACTATAAATGCCAATTCTTGAAAAGTTAGTGCCAATGGTACATCATTAGGTAATAATAGTACATATGATTACTGCACTATATAGCATAAGCTGTTATAAATATATTATATTATAAATATTTATTTAGTATTCCGTTGTAAATAAGCTTCCTGAAAAAGCTTATCCATATGGGACTCCACCGTAAATATATTTATCTATTTAGTACTTTATTGGAAATAAGCCTCCTAAAGAAGCTTATCACTTCGGTACTCCGTTATGCATAAATATTACCCCAATAGAAGATTATACATACCTGGTACAATAATAAGCTTATCCTTTCGGTACTCCGTTAGGAATAAACATTATCACCGGCAGAAGATTATCCATACCCGGTATAATAAGCTTATCCTTTCGCTACTCCGTTATGAATAAACATTACCCTCGATAGAAGATTATCTATATCTGGTACAGTAACAACTTACACAGCAGCTTGCAGTAGCAGACAACAACTTCCTTTCTTCTATAAATAGAGGAGATTTCAGTTTATTATGTATATTAGTTTGAAGTTGCATAATATATCAGTTACTCTCTATACTTGTCTTTACTTTACAGTCTTTATTTTATAACACTTTATCATCACGAGACTTTGCCATCTCGAGCAAATACTTTGAAAGTATCAGAGGTACGAATTTTTTTTCTTCTAAAAAATGCCAAATCTTTCTAAACTTGAATTTGTAGCCCTGGATATATCGGGCAAAAGCTACATGTCTTGGGTGCTTGATGCTGAAATTCATCTTGATGTGATGGATCGGCAAACACCATCAAGGACAAAAATCAAGCATCAAACCAAGACCGTGCCAAAGCAATGATATTCTTACGCCATCACCTTGATGAAGGCATGAAAATGGAATATCTCACTGTTAAAGATCTAGTCATACTGTGGAATAATTTGAAAGATAGATATGACAACCTGAAGATGGTCGTTCTTCCACAGGAACATTATGATTGGACTCATCTAAGGCTACAAGATTTTAAATCTATTAGTGAGTATAATCCTGCTATGTTCATAATTATTTCTCAATTGAAATTATGCGGTGATAATATTACTGATCATGATATGTTGGAGAAAACTTTCACCACTTTTCATGCCTCGAATATACTCCTGCAGCAACAATATCGAGAGATGGGATTCAAGAAGTATTCTGAACTTATCTCACATCTTCTTATAGCCGAGCAACATAATGGGCTATTAATGAAAAACAATGAAAGCCGACCTACTGGTTCTTATCCATTCCCTGAAGTGAATGAGACGAACTTCCATCAAGCTAAGCGTGGAAGAGGTCGTGGCCCCAATCGTGTTCATGGCCGTGGTGGGGGAAGAAACTCTAATCATGGTAATAATAATGCCCCAAAGAACCCCTTCTCACCACCAGCGGTGGAAAACGAAGGAACAAAAGCATGAAGCGGTGCAAGCAACAAATGCAGAAAATGCATGCTATAGATGTGGAGGAAAATGGCACTGGTCACGTACATGTCGTATGCCAACGCACCTGGTTGAGCTTTATCAAGCCTCTCTGAAGAAGACAGAGAAAAGGATGAAGCAAATTTTATTTCTGAAGATAATTTAGACTTCATGCATTTAGATGTAGCTGATTACTTTGTAGTCTCGAAAGGAGAAACAAGTCATATGATCGGTGATGAATCTATAGAAATGTAAATATTTTAATTTTTGTTGTTTGTAGTAGATAGTATGGTTATGTAATTGTTGTATATAAATAAAAGTTGTGCTTTGATAATGATGTTTACTATCATATTTATTTTGTTTATGTCATTTTGAAGAATATGGATAATCCTCAAATTATGTTTGGATCAAAGACCAATCATGAAGATATTTTGTGTCATTGATAGTGGAACAACTCATGTCATATTCAAAGATCAGAAATACTTTTCTTATTTGCATATGAAAAAACAATTATTTCAACAATTTTTGGTAAATATGATTGAAGGCTCTAGAAGAGCCACTATATTTCTGTCTAAGGGTACAAAACTTATTATAGACAATGCATTATTCTCCTCCAAGTCCCGAAGAAACTTGTTGAGTTTTATAGATATCCGTCGAAATGGGTATCATGTTGAGACGATAGATGAAATGAATATGGAATATCTTTGTATTACGAAGAATGTTTCTGGCCAGAAGTGCATTATACAAAAGTTACTAACTTTATCTTCTGGCTTATACTATTCAAAGATTAGTACAGTTGAAGCACACTGTATCGTAAACCAGAAGTTTACTGATTCAAATATTTTTGTGCTTTGGCATGGGCATTTGGGCCATCTTGGATCAATAATGATAAGACGAATTACTGAAAATCGAGTGGGCATCTATTAAAGAACCTGAAGATTCTTACAAATAATGAATTTTCTTGTGATGCTTGTTATCAAGGCAAAATGATCACTAGACCATCACTAATGAAAGTTGGCATTGAATCCCCTGCCTTTTTAGAACGTATACATGGGGGTATATGTGGACCTATTCACCCATCAAGTGGGCTGTTTAGATATTTAATGGTCCTAATAGATGCATCTTCAAGATGTTCTCATGTGTGCCTACTATCATCTCGCAACCTGGCGTTTGCAAAGCTTAGCCCAAATAATTCGATTAAGGACACAATTCCCAGATTATCCTATAAAGGCTATTCGCCTTTTTAATGCTGGAGAATTCTCATCTCAAGCTTTTGATGAATATTGTCTATCAGTTGGGATAAAAATTGAACATCCTGTAGCTTATGTTCATACTCAAAATGGCCTTGCGGAGTCATTTATTAAACGCCTGCAATTGATAACAAGACCACTACTTATGACAAAATTGCCCACTACTGTTTGGGGCCATGCTATCTTGCATGCAGCATCACTTATCTGTCTCAGATCGACACATTATAATAAATATTCTCCGTCACAATTAATTTTTGGTCATGAACCAAATATTGC